CCCCAAAACCCCAAAACCCCAAAACCCCAAAACCCCACTTCATTTATAGTACATTGAAGGCTCATTTTATTGCTAGTCTATGCATTTTATATACTTTTTGTAGTTAAAGCTCTCTATCTTTTGGTCGTCATCAGAGTTTCTATAGGCAAACATTAGTCATCACCACACAAATTTAAATGCAAACAGATAACGTCAAGGTAACTGAAGCTTTAAGGAAAGTACTTCTATGGTGGAGCTTAGTGCATATGAACATCCTTACTTTGTAAATGTGATCGATGGAACTTTTATTTCATCAGAGACTTCTAGCACAAAGTCTTTAGGTAGTTTGCTCAAACTCCCTCCGTCGAAGGTGATGGAAGAGGTGTTCTGGCATCACTCGAATACCTGCTTAAACAATTTTGGTGTCATTTTGAAGCCTGTGAGATAAACTTGGTCTCTAGCGTAATTCATGGCATTCATAAATCCTTGAGGCAGGCTATCAAGATCTAAGTCATGCATGCCAAGAGACAGGAAAGTATAGCTGGTGTTGATTCAATACTTGAGGAAGTTATCGAGGATGATCAACTCTTCTTTGTTCAGATTGCTGATCCCCACGATCATCAAGGAGTCCATTTTAGTTTTTGATAAACTTCCTGAGCTCCAGCACAAATTAAGTGTCTTCTGTTTCCGAGCGTAGCAGTTTAGGTAAAGACAGAATCTTCTGTCTAACTGTTTATCAAAATCCTCGTACTCTCTAATCAAAGATAGCATGACTTCCTGCTGATTTGACATATAGTTATTTATAAAGATTGTTCAGCACGTTGATATTCTCTGTATAAAAGTTCCTGGTTTCCTTATTGATACCCCAGAGGAGATCAAACCATTCTCGAAGGAACATGCTGTAATATGGCAGCAAGTTGACCACGAAGCCTAGCTTAGTGAGCATGAAAGACCCTTTCTTTGAACTAGAGGATTCCATTTGTAGATTTTCAATATTTTATAGTTATTTGGGGTTTTGGGGTTTTGGGGTTTTGGGGTTTTGGGG